TGAACCGCTCATCTTCTTAAGCTTCTTCTTCAAGTGAGTGTTCCAATAGTTCTTTATATCATTGTCTGTCCTTTGTGGAAGGTATGATGCTATGGCTGCCCATCTGCATAAATACATACAAGAACAAGTTAAAAAATATTTTACTATTTTAATATTCACAAATGTTTGTATATGTGTACCATATGTATCCGCCAAAACTGGGGTTTGTATGGCACTTTAACCTACAAATAGACCTTATATGCCTAAAAAAGGTAACTTTTGTAACAAAGTGAAGATCTTGTTTTGGATGTGAGTCTCTATGTGCATGTGTATATATAAAGATCTGCATATATATACTTGTTAAAAAACTTGAAAGATCCGTACCTATTGCCCAAGAGGGCTTGAAGGTGGATAATCATCTTCTCTTCATGCTCGGTGAAATTGCCACGCTTAATACCGGGTCGAAGATAATTAGTCCACCTCAATCTGCAGCTCTTGCTACATCTTCTTAGACCTAATTAATAAAAAACGATCAAACGTCGAGATTTTATAAATAAATAAAAATAAGCCGAAAAGATTCGAACTTTTGAGTGAAAACAGATGAAAAGGGAAGAAAAAGAGGAAGACGGATCGGAGATGGACAAAACAGTAAACTGAGCGATGAACACAGGAGGGTAGGTGCCATAACGCGGTTATTTATTGCTCTTATTTAATGGTCATACCAACCAAAGCAAGAATCATAAACCCAGAAAAAAAAACATTAATTATAGGGTTTAAGAAAAACAAATCACACATTCCATTCTTAATCCATAAAAAAACGCGTGATTAGCAAACAAGGTAAATACCTGTGTTAGTAGGGACAGATCTCCAGTTGCTAGCGCCATGTTCTTGAATGTAAGAAACCAAGATGATGTCTTCCTCCGGAGTCCATGGCCCTTTCTTCACTCCAATCTTGTCACAGCAAGGTGATCTTCCCATCTCTCTCTCTCTCCCTGTATGTGTGTATATATGTGTATCTTCTGTGTATATATGTGTATGTGCGTTTGCAAGAGAAAAAGGGTACTCTTGATCTGTTTTGAAGAGGAGATGTTTTTGGTTATTAGGGTTAAGTCCAACTGGGTTATACCATGTCTGAGGAAGACGAGAGTGGAGTTGCTTATATTTATAGAGAGAGAAAGCTGACTCTATCAGGCAATAATCGAAGTTACTGAGTGAGGATAATAATATAATATTGATTTTGAGAGAGAGAGAGAGAGAGAGAGAGAGAGAGAGGGGGGTGGGGTTTGCTTCCAAAGAGTCAAAAGGGACAGCCTGCTGCATTTACTCTCTTCCTTTCCAAAAGTCAGCCATATCTCTCTCTCTCTCCCTCTCTCAATCTAATTAGCTCTCTTGTCTCTTTCTCTCTCTATATATTCTTGTGTGTGTGTATATGTGTGAGTATCATGCATGCGTATATATCTATGCTTCTATCTGAATTGGGTATATGATTAGGGTTTAATTTTGTAAAAGGTATATATTTCTCTATCCCTTTCTCATTTATTAATTTTTATACAAAGGGGTTTATACGTTTATCATAAGGACCGCGCATATATTGCTCCCACAAAAGAGCACTTGATTTCAATTGTTTACCAAATCACTCTCACTGCACTTAATCTTTCAATTAATTCTTTAAATTTGAAACACCATATATAAATAAATTGAAATTAGTTTCCTTGAAAAATTCAAACCGAACCGAATTATAACACATATTCAAAATATACAGATTTTTTTAGCATTAATTATATCATGATACACAACTATTGGATCCCATGAATCGGTTTTGAATCCGTTGTTTCAGTAAACAAAATACTATGTGTGTGATACACAATTTTTTTCGAGTGAATCCGATTTGGGTACTTAAACCGGTAAAATATAGATGCAAAATATCTGTCTCGCCCCGAGTTATAGTTTCAAATTTGACAAGGGGCATAATTCTAGTCTTGTTTCCAACCTCAAAATTAGTTTGGGTTTCGTTTCAGAATATCCGGTTAATCAAAAAAATAAAAACTTTTCTCGAGCTTAAATATGCTTACATTATATTTGTTCATGTACAAAACTAAACTCTCTCTCTCTCTCTCTCTCTCTCTCTCTCTCTCTCTCTCTCTCTCTCTCTCTCTCTCTCTCTCTCTCTCGGATTCAAAACCGTGTGGTGCTGATAAATGCAGTAGGCATGAAAGAAAAGAGGTGGCACCGAAGGTCCGGAAGAAGACAAACAAAAATTACAAAAGAGAAATTATGTTTTTAATGGATTATTGTGAATTTTTTTTTCTATGAGAAATTCTTGCGCTTTTTTTCCCGTTTTTATAGTAAGAAAAAGTTCATACGTTTCTCTGTCTTCATCTTTCTTTTTTGTCCTATTGATCTCTATAAGACATATACATAAATACGCGCATAAATAGTTTGGAAATATACGCCTAGGGTTTACATGGACGCATGGCCAGAATGTTAACACATACGTCGACGTGTAATGTCCCATACATTATATTAATATTTATTACTCGCTTCTTTTGCAGAAAGAAGAAAAACATCTCATTGAGGAATCCACCCGTCAAAACTCTATGACCGAAAAGATGAATTTACATATTCTTTTTGTTTATATATATATATATATATATATACATGTAAGATTGTGGATGACATGTCTAAAAAGTTATTATCTTACACTAATAATACAATGGGGGGAAAATATAGAGTAGTTTGATTCTAAATAAACTCCTCGTACATGTGTAAGTGTGAGCTATTTTAGACCAGATCCTACAAATTTGGTGTATATACACGAAATCACAAACATATATATATATATATATATATATATAGTATACGTAAATGAGTTTTAAAGGATTTAACTATGTATATATATCAATAATACATGCTTAATTTCTTCAATCCTAAACATGATTATAGCATTACAACACAAATAGATTGCAACCCTGAGCATGAAATATGCCCGGTTGAAACTCAGGAGTAGATGATGCTCCCTCCTCCACCAAAGCATCCGGATACGGACAGCCAAAAGCATCCTTCTGAACCGAGCTCTCCGACAGCTCCTCAACCTGATCCCCGTATCATCTCACCGGAAAGGGCAGCGAGTCATTCTAATGGCCAACTGAAATTTACTTTGCCCGACAACAAAGTTCAAAGTAAGTCGGCATATCAATTTGATAATGAAAATGAGATGATCAAAGAAGCTCAGCGTATCCTTCGTTTCAAATCAACTGTCTAGACTCCCCGAGACCCAACTGATTTTATTTTAGTCGGTAGAGCTCATTGAGACAAATTTAAGTAGTCTATTACCCAGAAAGCCTCATTGAGACGAGAGTTCGTGACGAATCAACGGCTTGCTTCGATCAATATGATTCCAACATTTTGCTGGCTATTAATTATTGTATTAATTTGCTCTCTTTTGTTTGTCTCTAAACTCTAGATTAAATTTTGGTAGTAAAAAGTTTGGATTAATATACATTTACAGTTAAAAACAAAAACAAAACAAACAAATTGATTGCAATTAATGTGGAGTGAATTATTAATGAGATGGTGATAGAAAGTCACCCGGTAACATGCAATATGTTCTATAAAACTTGTGATATGGTCAAATTTTTCGAAGCTTTTATGGTACACACAAATTTCGCATTAAACATGTTTACATTTAGGGTAATTATGATTTAAATGTTCAAAAAGAGTAACCTGTTATTTCCTTAGCACGTGAAAACACCATGCAAGCAGGTTATTAATTTCCATAACAAAACCCATTTAGGCCCTAATTGAGCTTAAATCTTATGAAAATAAATCACGGCAAATACACACACACACACAATATATATATATATATATATATATATTCGTGATGCTAGAAACATTTTGCTACATGCATTTTTAAAAAATAATATAACTATATATTTATTTTTAGTAAATTGAGGAATTAAAAAAAATCCTAATAACGAAAGGAATGTTGCATGCACGTCGTGGGTGCATCGAGCTTCTAAATGGCTTCCACGTCTGATTAACTAATTCAATGAACAAAGGCTAATTGAAAGCCCCATCTCCCATCTCCCATACTCGGTAACCTTTTGCCCATACGTTATACACTTACAGTACCTTGTTCAAGTTCTCTTTGACTTCGTCAGCTGTATACTCCTTTCATCATGCTATACATTTTGTGTGTATATATATATATAGATATATACAGTACCTTGTTCAAGTTCTCTTTGACTTCGTCAGCTGTATACTCCTTCCATCATGCTATACATTTTGTGTGTATATATATATATAGATATATATATATATAGATAGATAGATAGATAGATAGTCTTGATTATCATCGGGTACATTATTTATTATTTGACGGTAGATTTGATTTTGTTTATTAATTAATATTGATACTGGGTAATAAGTCACTTCATCACCCAAGATGTCGTGGGCGAGTGGTCAAGTTTGGGGCGGGAGGTAATTCTATCTTGAGATTGAGTGTTCGATTCCTGACTAGTGGGGAGAGAGGTAATTTCTGGGTCTATACGGTCCATATACAAAGACTGCTCTCGGGCCGGAGGTTTACCTAGTCAGCGCGGCCGAAAGGTAGTAGTTAGGGGTCCTCCGTCATAAAAAAAAGTCACTTCATCTATTAATTATATATAAGTATAGCCTATATTATTGAAAATTATAAATACGAAAACCATAAAAATATAGAAAAAGAAAAAAAATAAAACACAATCAAGTTTATTTACTATATCTTTTCTTTTTTGAATTACAATGAAAACAACTCATGTATTTATAGGACATAATAGTAAAATAAACAAAGAAAAATATTACAAAATAATATATGATTGGAACAAATAAATTAAGAGACAACTGACACCATTAATACTTTTTAATTGATTTATGTCTTTAATTAATTTCAATCATCTCCATAATCATTTCTAATCAATTTCAATCTCTTTAAATTTACGCTTTGTTCCATCATTCCAATATATATATATATATGTCCTTGGTGTGTGTCACATTGATAATATACACGTAATGTAATACCCCATTGTATACTCGTAGGGCGAAAATCATATTGATACATATAATCCAATTCCGAATTTGTAATAATTTGAGCAATTGAAAACATGTTCTATTTCACGTACTCCCATAATTCCTTCAGTTCTTTGTGTTTACGATGTTATAAAAAAAACAGGTTCATATAATTGGTACATTTCCTAATAAACTATAATTATACATACATACATACATACATACATACATACATACATACATACATACATACATATATATATATATAGATAAACAATTATATAATAGTGTAATGGTACATATAATTATATTATTCACTGCGTCTTTAAGGCTTAGGGTTTCTTTTTCCGTTTCTCCACCGGATGGAAAGTGTCTCCGTAATTTCCTACAGTTTCTAGAAGATTAACGGGAGAATTCGTATGTCAACGACTATGGTCTCCTTTTGGATCTCGACGGGTTAACATCTTATTATATACGCAGACAAAAATAAATTATTGACTAACTTGCTAGGGCTTAGAATCATTTCAGGACACGTGGCAGATTCTGATTAAAATGAAATTAAGATCAAAAATTTTTGTTGCCTCGGACCCATCAATAAATGACGTGATAATGATGATTATTATTAATTAGTCAATTTAATTAATTAATATCTAATCAATAGGTCTTACTGTAATCCAGCTACTGTTTGTTAGTGTCATCAGACAAGATTTAAGGTTTTTCCACGACAGTAACTTTTCCATATTTCTTTAAAACTCCCTCTGCTGGTGGAGTTTTTTTAGGCTAAAAAGATTTACCAAAGTATAATTTTTCCCGCTGTAATATAGTAGATACATTTGAACTCATAAATTTAAAAATAGACGTAAATTTTACCTCATAAATTAATAATAAGAATAAATTAATCACAGTCTCATAAAAATATATGTAAATATTAGCTATTAAGAATTTATGAGAAGGTGTATACATAAATAATGTATTATATTCCTTATACAATTAGGTTTTTTACTTATAAACAAATTATATATTACTCCATCCGTTTTACAATATTTAACGTTTTAGCCTTTTTTACATTTTTAAAAAAGCAATAAAAAGTCATATATACCCTTTAACAGCACAAATATTGATGTTATCATTAATAATCTATTGGAATTT